TACTGATGGGGCTGTGGGGAAAGAGGAACCCTGCTCCACTGCTGGTGGGAGTGTAGACTGGTGCAAGCACTGTGGAAATCGGTATGGAGATACCTCAAAGAACTAGGACTGGAAGTCCCATTTGACCCCACTATTCCCTTAGAGTCTCTTAGAAACAACAATTAATCAACTATTGTTTTACAAATGTTCTAACAGCAGGACCTTCCGCTTCTGTACCTTTTGCTTGCTTTACTAGTTCTATCCCATAGGGGGCCTAGAAACTGCTGGCCTCAAAGGTGTATAAAATATGTTAATTTCCCCCCAGTTGAGGCTGGAGTCAGATGCTCGGCTGGAGTCCTGGCCGGTAATAAACTCCGGTGTGGATTTAATATCAGTCTCTGGTTGGTTCTCTCTCACTGGGTATAACATTCTTAGAAGCCCCAGCGAGATAGCCAGCTGCTCTAGAGCTTATTATCTTGGAGCCTTTGTTTCTTTTTAGGAGAGACCAGGACTTCGGCAGTGTTTGGCCCCTCTGGACACCGTTCTCCGGAAGGAGAGGCCATCCTGATGGTATTCCGGGGCTCCAGGTAGACCGGTCCCAGCCGGGCCCTATTGCCAATCAACCGACCCACAGGAGTTTATCGGGAAAGCCTCTAAAGGTAAGAATCGAATGATTCTTAGTGCACTGTCGGTTGGTAAGAGGAAGCCAGATGCAGCACAGGTTCCCTTACCTACAGTCTCTTTGCGATGGCAAGCAGACTTAACTGGGTCAGAGTCTCCTCAAAAGAGCAACTCCCTGGGTAGGGTCCAAATCCATTCTGCCCCGGAAGTTTTACTTGGCCAAAGTTTGTCTTTGTCTGTTTATTGTTGTCTGTCTGCTTCCTCTGTGTGCCTTTTGTGTTTTCACAGGCTAAAATTATGCGTTCCTCACAGTCCACAGAAGGAACTCCACTTGATTGTGTTTTGAATAACTTCAAAAAAATTTATGAAAATAATTGAAGCATAAAGGAGAGTAAAAACAAATATTTTGAGAAATCTGCCATTTTTTATTAATGATCTTGTGCCCTAAAATGAACATAAGATTGGACTCATGAATCTCTGTTTCCTCTGTCTCAATTTACATTTGTTTCTCTCAGTGTAAGCATCTTCTTATACTCTGGTATTCACTCTGAGTTTTCATGGTACTTTAAGATATATTTTTCTAACAGTAATGGATATTTTACCCAAGCCATAAAGTCTATTTTGTATTTGAATCTAAAAAACAGTCATCTGAGCCAATGATTTTCTGAAGCAAATTTGGCTATGTTAAACTTTGGAAAAGTGTTGCAAGGGTTGGATTCTAACATTATAACTTTTTAAAAATACAGTAATGCTAAAAACTAAATAAATTTTTTAAATGAAATAATGCTGATTCTGATACTCATCTTGCTACTTATGCTCAAAAATAATTCACATGAAACTCAAACATCAAAACCTATCAAAAGATGTTTTAATTTTTTTCTTTAAAGAAAAACTAGGTAAAAAGCAATAATTAGAAAGCAATAAGACAACTGGCCTTTGGTAATTAAATTTTTTGGTGAAAAGTCCAACAATTTGAAACCTAATAAATAAATGAAATAAGTATGAGTACAGGTTAATATTCACTTGTTTGAATAGAATTTGTTCCCATCAAAGCTCATGTAGTTCTTTTGGGAGTGGGGCCTAGGAGGAGATACTGAGTAATGAGAAGGCCTCTGTGTATAGGTGCTGTCTATTACGAGTGAGTGAAATCTTGCTCCCAAGGGACTAGATTAATTACCTCAAGAAAGGGTTGTTAGGAAACAAGGTTACTTCTGTGCTTTGCCTCTTTTCAGTATCCACTTCCCTTTAGCTTTCCACCCTGCATGGCATAGCTTGGAGCTCTCATCAGAAATGGAGCAAATGCCATTGTCCTGCTCTTGAACTTTCAGAACCATGAGTCAAAATCAACTTCTTTCTTTATAAATTTCCCTAAGTCAAAATAAACTTCTTCTTTATAAATTTCCCAGCCTCAGGTATTCTGTTACAGCAACAGGAAAGGAACAAAAACTATTTTGGACAAAACAGGTAAAAGTTATTGTTTTATAAGGTACCTGGAAACATAGAATAAAGATGGTAAATTTATGTAGTGCATTAGAATGAGTTTCAGAGTGGTAGCCTTAAATTGACATAGAAAAATTAAGAAGGATCCAGTTTTATGAAAAAATGGGATGAATGAAGATGTAGGTGAAGAGCAGATTTAAAAATAAATTAACAAAATTATTGTAGCAATGGGAAACAATTTTTCTGGGCTGTACTACTGTGAATATGGTGGTGGTATACATTGGGAAGGATCACCAGGGAGAGACCAGTCTCCTTTCCCAGAAAAGAAAGGGAGTATTTGTGAATGTATTTATTTTTTAAACACAGAAAATAACCACAGACTCAAGAACATAAGGCAATGTGCATTTTTTATCTCACAGTTCCCTTGGGCTCGGTGGTCAGGCCAGTCTCCTGCTCAGTGTCTCACCAGGCTAAAATCTAGTTCCTTGGTCAGGCTACATTTTCATCTGAGAATCCCTTTAGGGAGAATCCATTTCCCAAGCACATTCAGATGGTTATCAGATTTATTTTCTTGTGATTGTATAGCTGAAGACCATCACTTTCTTTTGGCTTCCTTCTGCAGGTTACTTTCAACTTCTGAAGATGAATAGTTATTTCTAGAAATTACTGACAGTCCCTTGCCATGTGACCTTCCTCAATGTGGCCAGTTACTTCATCAAGCTGCCAAGGAGCATCTTTTGCCTTGAGAAAGTGGAAACACTTCACCTCTTAAGGATGTTTACCCAATTATGTCAGGCCCGTCCTGTGTATTAGCTCAAAATCATCTGTTTTGAATCTTTAATAACATTTTCAAAATCCCTTTAGTTTTGTCATATTCTGCTAGCTAGAAACAAACCATGATCAGCCCATATTCACAAATAAGAAACTACGAAGAGTGTAAACACAATGGGGAGGAATTTCTGGATTTACTATAAGCTCCATTGGACAGAATCAGTTTGTATTTGCTACAGGTTTTTCTGGGTTTTTTTTTTCCTAGTTTCATTTTCTGTTTTGCTTGACCAATGACTATTATATGCATTTATGAGATACAATATTAAGTTTTAATATGTGCATATATTTGTGGAATGATCAAAAATATGGAAGGAATGTATTAGGTAGGAAATAAAGAAAATACTTGTAAACTATTGGTTGGTGTTATAGTGCATATCTAGGTGTTCTAAAAGAGTCTCATGAATTCATAACAGGCTTTTGGAAAGTGAATAGATAATGAGGGCTTATAGTTGACTTGTCCTTAGGATGTGGGGTCTGGTTAGAAGAAGCAGGTCATTGGGGTATGACCTGGAGAAGTTTATCTCCTTTCCATGCTCTTCTCTTCATTCTATGGCTGCTTCATAGATGACATGAAATGAGTAGCTTTTCTTAGCCAAGGCCATACCACCATGCTATTCTGCCTTGGTGCCAGCTGACTATGGACTGAAATCTCTACAAACTGGAAGCTAAAATAAACTTTTTCTTCTTTAAATTATTAGGTGAAAATGACTGACAGAATGTAAATAAGTATGGAGTACAGCATGGAAGTTTCTCAAAAATATATAAAAAGAGTGACTATATGATCCATCAATTTTACACCTGAGTATATATCTAAAGAATCCACAATCAATATCTGCTATATTAAATTAAATGTGAGGTATCTTTTCAATCCGAGGAAGGAAGATATATGTATCACTGGAAAAAGTGAAAAAAAAATTCTTGGCTAGCCATAAAATTTATGATCATCTGTGAATTTTAAAATATATATGTAAATTTAATAGGAAAATAAGGACTTAAATAGATGAGAAAATTTAGAAGTGATGTTTATAATATTCAGTATTACTGGGCATGAAAAGAAAAATGAAAAAAATGAAGCAAAGAAAGAAGAACTAGAACAGAATAAGAACATTATGTTGGCTCTTTGACTCTTCTATCATTTAATATTCCTAATAAAAACTATTATTAAAATTAAATAATATATCACAATATTTGATCAAATATAGATTATTGTTGAGTAAATGATTGAAACACAAAATGAACTTTTTTAATGTTATAAAATTAAATAAAGTTAAGAAATACTTATAATTTCTTTTAAACTTTTATTTTAAACTATTTATAGAAAATTTCATTTTTAGTTGTATCACTGAATCTCCAATAAATTGTCAATTGAGTTTCTGCAGTAAAAAATGTTTTTTTGTGAATATTTTCATTCAAGTTCTTTTTTTATTAATTTCTGTATTACCTCTTAAATATTTCAAATTCTTAATGTCAAGATGCAGATGATAATTTTTTAAAAATCACTCTGAGCACATAGTGGAAAGGCAGACTTTTAGCAACATTGCCAATGAGTTTTTTCTACTATTCTTAGAAAAGAAAATCATGTTTTAACCTAACTTTTTAATTACCTAATTATCTTAACACTTTTGGCTTCTTTTAAAGCTTATTTAAGATAGAAATTATGCAGGCATTAGTTGGGGAACAGGAAGTGGCAGGCAAATCATAAGTAAATTAGCCCAACAATGGATCTTCCAAAAGAATATTCCTAGTTATAGAATGACAGGGAAGAATTAAAATTAATGTATATGGTATTATTAAAAAGCAATCTTTTTGTTGAAAACTGTAATCACTTGATTAGATGTCACCTACCTATTATTTTAAGATTCAGTTAATAAACTTCATTGTCTGAATATATAAATAATCAAATTTCACTTGATTTTAGCCAAAAGACCAAAAAGGTGAGTTGTTAAATTTTATTCAAAAAGATTATTTTCTCTTTTCCTAACCAGCTCATAGTCTTGTAATAGTACATTTACTCGGAAAGTTCTCATTTTTCTTAAGATCATCATTAACTCCTCTATTCTTGTACATCAGTTTGCATTTACTAAAATGAAATTTATCATTCATGGATCCCATTATGATCTACTTACCTCCTCATGTCAGTAAATAGAGGGCATTCTATTAATTTTTATGAATACTGCAGTTTTTTCTGATTTTTGTAAACAGTTGTCTGAAAATTGTCATCAATGATTGTGTTTCTTTTACATTGAAGCTTCCCATATTTGCAAAGAATATAAAAACATTCCACAAGACAACTCAGTTAAAGTAATTTGCTTTCAGATTTTCATTAGTTAATGCCATTTGTTGTTTCAAAGAACTAAGTAAAAAGCATCCAGCACGAGCTTAATTTTTCTGTCTAATATTAAGTAGCCTCAACTAAAGACCTGTATCAAATGTGCATTCCTTATTAATTAACCTGGTAGTTATTTATCACATTGAATTTTAAGTGTACTAATCAAATGTTTATTTTGTAGTTGTATTGCATTACCCTGATTAAGGATGTATTTATCTCTACAAGGATTACATTAAAATGTAAAAGCTGCAAGAGTTGATTTATGTTAAATTGTATCTATCAAGTAAAGCAATTACTAATGAACTGCAGCAATTTCTAGTTATTTTATGTTATGAATTTATCACTTCATGTGCAAGTAGTTATGCTCATATTCCTAAAAGATGTTTCAAATATGGAAAATTAACATATCTATAACATGAATTCTTACATTTTTCTTTTCTAAAATAAACTGATAAATTTAACACAAAATGTGTAAGTTAAAACATCTTTTCTGGGTATAGAACTATGGAACAAAATTCTAAATACCAAAACAAATATTCAGATCATTTTTGTTTCATAGTAATAATAAGAGAATACGTTATGAAGTGTTTGAAAATGCATTTGCACCTCACTGAAGAGGGTATTGGAATGTTGAATTAAAAAAAGAATTTTAAAAACTATTTTATAAAATTCAATGAAACAAATGTTAAAATATGACTTTTGAAAAACCCCATCTACTTAGATAATTGATCAATTTGAGATGTTGTAAGAGATTTGTCATTAACCCTGTGTTTCTATGAAACTTATAGTTAAGTAATCAAGCTACTTATGACATAAAAAATCAAGACATACTTTTGTTCATTATTTTAAAAAAGGAGAACAGAGCTTTCCATCTCTAAATAGAGCTAAATTTTAAAATACTCTTTTTGATAGTTGAAACATTGTTTTAAATTATAAAAATTTATTGATGACTCATGATTAATTACTTCTTGAAGCCAATTCCACTAGTTGGAAATATGAATTGACAATCATAACTACAGATATGGTAGTTACAAATGCTTCCTTCCATACTCTTGATTCATTCTATCTAGCTTTCTCCCTTATTTCTTTGACAATGAAAAATGTGGATCATTAAATATGATAAACTTATTTTAGAACTGTGTCATTCAAAGAATACAATAAAATTCACTTGCTGTTTAGACTACTTTGAATTTTGTAAAATATGATCCATATATCTAATAAAATAGTCGTGTTATTGAAACATTTCATCAATGGCCAAATTATCTTGTTCTCTGACTTTTAGTCAATATTTTCCCTCTGGTTTCTGTCCCAATAAGACATATTTCATTTCCCATCACTATATAACATAGACCTTTACTGAACTAACAATGTTAAAGACATCAAATATAATTGAAAATTTATGTATTTTTCCTCTGTATTTCATGTTATTGCTTCATATATTTTAAAGACCTCTTAGATATTAACTTTTTTACTACTATTTAGGTACCTACTTGCTTATTATTACTTTTTTCTTTGAAAACAGATCTCCTTAATATTCTAAAATATTTCTCTAATGCTACTTTTTAATTCATTGTTTTGAAATCTATTTTGTTTAATATCTCTATAGCTACTCCAACTTCCTTCTAATTTGTATCATTCATATATATATATATATATATATATATTTTAAACTAAACTGTGCTTTTAAAGTTTGTTCCTGGGTTGCCTTGTAGCTCAATGTAGAACATTAGAAGGGCATGCATGAGTTCCTGGGTTCGATACTTAGCAACACAAATATAAACAAACAAACAAAATAAAAAGGAAAATGTGTTCCTTGTAAATAGCGTATCGTTGGCTGGACCTTTTAGGTTTCTTTTGAAAGTCTGTCTTTAAATTGTCACTCTATGTCCTTCATATGTAATGTGGTAATTAGAAAATTTAGATTAAAATTCTTTACTTCTTGCTGTTTTCTATTTCCTTCATCTGTTGTTTCTTTTTAGCTATTTCTGCCTCTTTCATTTTGATAATTCAATTTTACTTGCAGTACATATTTACTATTCATAATGACTTCTATGTTAATGTTTACCATGTGAATTATTATTATTGAATACCAAATAGTTTCTCTGGTGTGAGGCCCAAAGGGAAGGGAAAGTAGGAGGGGTGGGGGAAGGGAAAGGAATAAATATGAGAAAAGGAAAAACTGGAAACAAAGTCTTTGTAAATAGGGAGTGGTGGAGAGATGGAAGGAAGGGCAGGGGAATGGGGTAAAAATAAGAACCAAGACACATCATGTAAAGGTACAAAGTTCCCAATGATGCATGTCATCATACTGTATACCTAAAATGTACCAATAAACTTATTGAATTTAAAAAAGAGTCAATATGATCAAATAACATTATAATTCTCTACATGGAATACAAAATCTTATAATAATATATTCCAATGCCTCTCTCTCATTAATTCATTATTCTGGCTATATATTTCACTTTTACATAGTTTGTAAATTCATACTTTATTTTAAACATCTGAAGAATTTATTGAAGATATTCTTCATTGAGTTTACCATGTCTTCATTCCTATCAACTCCATTTGAATTTTTAACTTTTTAATTTAAAAAATTTAACAGATAGCTAAAATCATAAAATTGTACACAGTATACTAAAGTGGCACTATGTTTTAGTCACTTCTTTGTCACTGAGACAAAGTACCTGACACCCACAAATGAAAGGTGGAGAAGTTTATTTGGGGTCATGTTTACAGTGTATAGTTGGGTGGCTCCAAGGCAGAAATGACATGGTTGGAAGCCCTGGGAAGAGGATAGTTGCTCACAACACAGTGGCCAGGAAGCAGGGAGAGAAGGAGAGAGCAAAAGAGATGGATAGACCATTCCAGGACATATCCCAGTGACCTGCCTATAACCAGGCCCTACCTGTGAGTGCATAATGCCTTTCAGAGACACTCTTAATCTAAGTAACAGTCTACCCATAGTCTACAAAAGTTCACGTGGATCTCTCAAGCAAAACTCATTTAGCCCATTTAAGATTT